TTCTCATCTACCTCTTTCCCTGTATTAAAATATCTTAATTTGTTCCATAAATTCTATTTTAATTTTCTATATTAGATTAAAGGGTAAAATATTCGTATGACCATTTAATTATTGTCCAATTTTATATTTTTATTAATCAAATCACTTAACTATTTAAGTATTTCAATCCAGTCACTTACCGTTAACATTTATTAGATTAGGTGACGTGATTATTAAAAATATCATAATTACACATTTGGTCCTTAATATTTATACACTCTATCAATTTAGTCTTGCTTTTAATTCAATTAGATCAATATGATAATAAATAAGTGTCATATTGATCAGTCAATAAGACATTAAATTCAACTATAAGAAAAAGATAAACGAAAAGAATGTTCAAACAATCGATAAAAAAGATTAAAAACGTATCAAAAGGACGAGAAAGACGTACCATAAAAACAAAGTAGTTTATTTTCACTATGTTTTATAAAATTTGCTATATCATTTCCAAGTAGGATTGATTGTTATAGTAAGTGTACATTTATACAATTAATAATATTTGAGGTAGAATCACATATTATCATAAATTAGAAGTTTATACTTTAAGATTTGTAATTAATTGACTTGATAGCATAGACAATCTCATCAATAATGATACAAAAATTTATTGAAAATTTACATAATTTTTTAAAATATCTTATTTTTTTAAAATCGTAACTAATAATTTTCGCTTATTTCTTATTTCTTTATTTTATTTGTTAACTTTTGACTGTCTAAAGAATTTTTCGTTAAAAATAGGCGGTTAACGTTTTTTCTGTTATACTTTTAGGTGTCTAAAGTTTATAACGTTATATTTTTATGTGCCTGGACTGTAATCGTCATTAAAATATATTGTTATATGACACATGTCAGACTTATAAAATTTTAAAAAAATTATTTCAAAATAAAATAAATAAAAAAATTATAATTTATTTTGTTTAAAAAAAATCTAAATTTTGTTAGAATTACAAAAAAAAAACCCAAAACAAACTCATTTGCAATTGTCACCAGTAGTCTTTAACCACCATCTTTATTACTGGCCATTTCTGCCCACCATCTCCGTCGCCAAAAGGTTGCATACTCATCATCGTTCAATCATTGATCGAACATTGCCATTGCCTTTGCCCCAAATCCCTAAATCCTAAATCCTAAATCTTAAATTTTAAATCTCTATTCCTAAATTTAATAGGTGGAGAATTTGGTTGAAATTTAATTCTAATAATCCCAAATATTGAGAGGGAGGGGGACAGCCGAGGGAGGGGAGGGGAGGATAATTTTTTTCTAATTTCTTAATAAAAATATTTTTATTATTTTTAAAAAATAAAAATTTGATAAAGATATAATAGTGACACATGTCACCTAGCGGTTGAATTTGATGACGTTATAGTTCAAGCACCTAAAAGTGTAACGTTAGAAACGTTATATATCAATTTTTAATGAAAAAATATCTAGACACTAAAAGTTAACTTTATATATATTTTAAGCACTTATTTTTGCATTAAACCATATATCATTTAATCTTTCAATTGTAATTAAATTTCATTTCGATGTTTTAAAAAAATTCTAGCAATTTTAAAAAGAAATTATGAATTTTTTATATATTGTAAAATTTTTAGATTTACTTTTTTTAATTATTTTTTCAAAAATATTAAAGAAATTAAATTAAAACTTTAATTACAATTGATGAGTTAAACAAATTATTAAATTACTCATTAATCTAAAACATCACTTTATTCTATTAAGGACAATTCATAATATGGTAATCATTTTATAATCGAATTAAAATTTTAATAATTATTTATAACTATTAAAATTTTAATAATTATTTATAATTATTAAAATTTTAGTAATAGTTAAAAATAATTTAATAACCATTAAACTATTTTACCGAAGAAAAGAAAAAGGACACAAATTAAGGGAAAGGAAAAAAAAGGAGATGGGTGATGGGGGAATGTGAAGAACGCGTATTGTAGTTAAAGCAAAGAACGCGGCGTGTGATCAGACGATATATCCTCCTTCAACCTTACACTCCTTTTCTCTCCTCTTGTTTCTCTCTTTCAATTTCAGTTTTTTTCCTTTTAATTTTGGCCACCGTGTCATCTTAACATCAAAACATATATATACATATTATATATAAGAACACCACTTCTTTCCTTTTAAGGAAGCTATGTCTGGCAGAGAAATCCTCAATAAGATGAAGGTATCGCCTCTCTTTTCTGGGGTTTTTAAATACCCTTTCTTTGTCTTGTTATACTTTGCATAATCTGTTGATTATACACACACACATGTGTGTGTATGTATGTATTTAGGATCTAAGAACTGAAATTTGGACCTTGTTTTATAAGGAATTTAGGATGGAATGTTGTATTGTATTAGATTATCTTCAAATGGGTTATGATTTTTCTATGAACCCGTTTTTATTTTTTGGAGTTGTATATGGGGTTTGAATAGATCGTTTTTTTATGAAAATTTGGAAATTAGAGTATATAGGCTCTAATAATTAGTTTATGGTGATTTGATTTGATAAATTTGGGAAAATAAATGATGTTTTGGATAATTTTCCTGAAATCTTAGGGCCAAATTGAAATACCCTTTTTTTCATTTTGAATTTTTTTACCCATTTTCAGCATAATGCTTTGCTGTAGATGTCATGCTATCCTCATCAATGGTAATTTCCATGCAAATTGTGTAAATTTACTGTTTATTAAGCATTTTATATTATTGGTTTACTGCAGGAAAAAGTTCAAGAAAAAGTTGGCATAAACCCTTCCAATGCTGATTCTGGAAAAGGGAAGAGTAAGATGTCAAAGAACATAACACATGGTTATCATTTAGTCAAGGGGAAATCAAACCATCCTATGGAAGACTACGTTTTCGCGGAGTTCAGGCAAGTCGACAACAACGAGCTCGGTTTATTTGCCATATTCGACGGTCATTTGAGCCATGTTATTCCCAATTATTTGAAGACGAATTTGTTAACAATATCTTGAACGAGGTAATCTGTAATGTCTGTCATCAGCTGGATCTTATCTTATATTCTCCTACAATGCTTTGCTATTGGTTTTGACTACGTTTCTGTTTCATTTTCGAGAGCAGCCTAACTTTTGGACAGAACCGGAGAATGCGATTAGGAAAGCGTATAACGTAACCGATGCAAATATATTGGAACAGGCCATTGATTCGGGCAAAGGGGGTTCAACAGCAGTGACAGCAATATTGATCAACTGCCAGAAGCTGGTAGTAGCAAATGTTGGCGATTCCCGGGCTGTGATATGTAAGAACGGTGTGGCTAAACAGCTTTCAGTTGATCATGAGCCCGCTTCTGAAAGGGAGAGCATCGAAATAGAGGTGGTTTCGTTTCGAACTTTCCAGGTAACGGGTGCCAATCATATTTTCGACTTTATTTGGAAACTACATTAACAATTCGATCACCACTATCGAATGTTGTTCATATGGAAAGCTGCATGTTTGCTTTTGATTCCAGGGGACGTCGCTCGTGTTGACGGTCAGTTGGCAGTGGCCAGGGCATTTGGTGACAAGAGTTTAAAGAAACATCTTACTTCGGAGCCGGATGTGGCCACTGAAATGATCGATGATGATACCGAGCTCATAATATTGGCAAGTGATGGTTTATGGAAGGTTAGCAGTGCATAGAGCATTTTCCTTTTATCGAAACTGCACATTGAATCTGTGATTTAATGGTCTGCTCCTTCGAACTTCCAGGTTATGTCGAACCAAGAAGCTGTCGATGCTATCAAAGGCATTAAGGACGCTAGATCTGCTGCAAAGCACCTAACTGAGGAAGCTGTTAATAGGAACAGCAAGGATGACATATCCATCGTAGTTGTAAGATTTTAGTGATCTGTAAGTGTGCCAACTTCTCTTGTTTCTGTTTGATCGAACTCCTTTTGAACCTCTTTGTCATGTTCAAGAGAATGTTTATGCATATTTTGTGTCGGTATCCGAAGCTTTCTATACAAAAACTGTAATGAAGCTGTCAACGTAATGAAACTAAAGTTGAAGAATTTGTATCATTCATCAAAGCTTACCCATGGTTTCAGTGGTTCAGCTGATAGGATATCTATTCTGCCATTAAATTTTAGAATTTGTATCGAACAATTGGAATTTCCCTCGGATAATCGGATATTAATTCCGATATCTGACATTGTTATGAAGCCCTCCATCATTGTATAGAAACTTATAACTATTAAATACTGCTAGAGATGAAGCATTGGTTGACAAATTTTTTTGGGGGGGGGGTTCATAAGTTGATGATGTCTTGGTCCTTAAGCTCCTTTTCTGACCCGAGAATGTTAGCTCGGGATCGATACCGGATCGCTGCCTCTTTGAGCATCAACCTGCCTGCAATTACACCCTTTCAAGACTGGACTATTGCCTTTCCGACTTCCACCCGCCAGATGGTTCACCGGGCTGCTTCTGCACCTTTCTTTTGAAAAGGTGGGGATGCCTTGTCACCGGACCGTCTCTTCCCATGTGCTATCCTCTTCTTCATCAAATGGAGAAGGAAAACCATGAAATTGAAACCTGGAGTTTCTATTGGAGGAGAAGAATAAATAACGGGAGAGGTAAAGAAATGTTAAGAGGACTCTGAGAATTCGAATATAATCTATTATAGGATTATAGGCAGCTGAGGACAACGAAATTGAACTTCAAATATTCATGAGTTGGTAACACTAGAGAACAATAAAGAAATGGAATATCATATTATAGTATCATACCCTCCTGCTTTGGCTCTCAATTCCTCTATACTGCTAACCTCATCAACAACTTTATCATATTCATTTTTATCATTACCATTCGCACTTTCTTTTATGACTTTTGCAGTATCTTTGGCTGCTTTCCAAGCTCCATCTACGGTCTCCTTTGCTGCATCCCCCACGTTTTCTGCCATCTCCACCACCTTTTTTATCCCTTCTTAGGCCGCATCCTCCGAAGACTCCTCGGTTCTGAATGATCGGTGTTTGGCGTCGTACCTGCTCTCTCCCACTGCTGCATTACTTCCCTGTATATGAAAACCAACCATATTCAAAATGCAGTATCTATGAAGAATGTTATGGAAACTGGAAATTGGAAACAAGTCATATTGTTACTGGTGGTGCTGGTGGAGGTTGATAAGATGTGGATAAGGAAGCCCTGGTAATTGGAGAAGGGCACTGCGGCAACAACTTGGAGATGTTGATGACAGCTCTCTTTGCCCTAAACGTTGCTTCCATTTTGCTTTACAACTATGGATTAATTGTCTTAACAAAGGGGGTCTTAAATATGAACTCCATTGTTGGATGTTCAGTGTAAGGAAATGGGTGATGTTAAAGAGGTGTGACATGTGGGAGTTATCATTAGTATTATCGATTTATAAAAAAATTGGTCACTCGACGTTAACAACTGTTAACGTGGGTGACAAAAAACTTATCTGACTCCTTAACCACTTATCTGGATCGTTGACAATCGTGTTGAAAAGCCCGTTGAACTCTATATTGACCAACCAGTTCTTCGACTTCAATTTCATTCATTACCAAAACTACCATGAAAGATTACAAGCAACTCCATGTTGGAAAGTTTCTGCACCAACTGCTTCGTGGCGTTTGCATTTTTCAATCGAAACCGAGGTCCCGAGTTCAGGTTGGGAGCACTGAGCAGTGACTCGGAAGTTGTCGAGTAAAACAATGACCAAGTAAAGTGCGATTATAAATAAAATAATCTTACATTTTGATAATCCTATTACCAAGTATAATATTTAGTTCTTTTAAACTAAACATAACATACCCTTTTAAGGAAGGGATTGAACTTAATCAAAAGTTTTAGGGCTGAAAAACTTGCCAATCACCCTGGAATTCAATATGTTTAAAGCTTCCTCAGATTTAATGCAACAAGGTGTCTTGTATTGGGTAATTGAATCTCCCTTTGATACATAAAAATCCATAAGTGCATCAAAGGTTCCATGTTCTACCACCCTCAACTCTAACGCTGCAATTTTATTGGCCTCCCTAAGGGATTTATATGTGAAATCCAAGGATTCTTCCACTATACAGCAGCATTGTTCCATTATCTTGGCATCAAGTTTTGGGCAACTATCACTTGCTTTTGACTGCTTCAGCTCCCAAAATAATACGTACCGACCTGGAATCGATGAAGTCTCGGCATAGCTACTGAACGTCATTAGCACGAAACCAAATGGTTCTCTGAGGAGTTTTGCATTCCCGATGGCCTTCAAGAGGTCTGCTTCACTTGTTTTGTCCATATCAATACTCAAGACTGTATTCAGTTTTTCGACAAATTGAAACTGCGGAGAGTTGTTATGGAAGCCGGTTAACTTAAGGACATCTCCGACTTGGTACCAATATAGACCTGGAAAGACGATTAAAACACATTCTTAACTAAAAGAAATTCAAGGCTCTTCAAATCTATAATGGGAAATGTTTACCTGTCATAGTTGTGACAACCACCTCGTAATATTGACCAACCTTCACATTTGCAAGATCAATGGGTACAATATTTCCATTCGCATTTGTCATGTCCGAGACCCTTTACTCGAAACACCATGAAAATGGAATTCTTCAGCCTTCTCTCCATTGTCTTCATTCACAGGGATAAACTCAAAGTAAGCCATATTAGGGAGAAAGGTGTAAGCGATGTCAAAAGGGTTGCTAAGAGGTTTTAAATTGATCGCAAAAGAAGATTCCGAAGAACCATAACTAGGCGAAACTAAGGGAATTCCGCCACCATAAAAATCAAGCAATGGAATGTATTGGCTCATGCTACCAGCAATGACAGAACTAATGTACTTTGCTTTAGGCCAAAGTTTCTTAATTATCCCTTCCCATGATTCATCACCACATGTTTTCAATCGTATCAGCCAATTCTGGATTAGGCCTAGACAGCACCGATGACACTGCATACCTGGAACCAGGGTCAATAACCCAATCACTGAGGCAACCTGTTCTTATGTCCGAGCACAATCCCTTCCAGTGATCTTCTAAGAACTTTATGCTCCTTGCCAAAACAGACGCGAAGATCGAACTGATCAAAACAACCTTGTCACGTTGCAGTAAACCCATAAGCAATTGGCAGTACATGCTTTGCTTGTTGTCCAGGCAGTGTATTGTCTCAATAGGACTTGTGCAGGTTTTAGGCGCACCGTTTTGAAGCCATTGCTATTAAAATATAACGTTGAGAGCGTTTCCGCCATTAGACCTGATGGAGTTCCAATCCCCTTTTTGACGAAAAAAAGAGTCATTGCTTTTCCTTTCTCCAAGCCATCAAAACATCTGTGATATCATTAAAAGCGAAAAGAAAGAACAAGTTTTTAACTAGTTATATGTTTAGACTATTTTACTCGAAACTTTAGCTTGAGACCTCAAAGATCACATCTTCAAACTCATATGCATGGACAAGAGTGTTAAACACGAACACTAGAAAAAAAAAGGGACAGTGTAACATCTAAGCATTGTTGGTGACTTCAATCTTGCGGTTATGCTTATTTGTGTCTTCTATACAATGCTCAAAAGGTGTTTGATAATTTGCCCCTAAAAAAAACATAACCTGGGCCATCCTAAATTACTGGGATTTTTGCAATGAAACGTGCTGTTTTGGCTGATTTGTAATTTTAATTGCCTGATTCTTTTCAAATAAACTTACAACAAAGCAACGATTCTTACTTTTTTACGACTGGATCAAACAGGGTGACTTCTAGCATCCTTTTCTCAAAACTTTCAGCTGTCATAGGTATCAACTTAGGCTGACCTCCGGAAGTACCAGAGCTGCATAAAAAAAATTAACGGTTTAAAAACATTAAATTCAAAACTTGTGGAATTTTTTACGAAAATGAAGAACAAGTTCCATACCTCTTGATGAACATGGAGATGGGGTCGGCTAAAAGGATATTCGAAGTCTCCCCATTGGCGATTCGATCGTTGTTGGGCTTTATATCTTCATAAGTAACAATGGGTACGTTCTTTTTGAATGATTGTTTATCAGTTTGACCATGGAGGAATCGACTTAGATATTCAGTTCCTGCATTTCTCTTCAGTATCTCCGCCAATACTTGTTCTTGAATTTGATGAGCATTTTTGGTTAATTCCTCTAAAAATTTCAACCCATTTTCGGACTCCTTTGTTTCCGTCGTATCAGCCATGAAAATGGTTTGTTTTTTCTTTTATAAATCAGGCGAGGGAGATGAGATTTCGACACTTCAAAAGACAGAAACGTCCCACACCATGCAAACCGCATCAATGTTCTCAATATCATTTTATTTTCTATCCTTCAGTTTTTGGTCGTCGGCAATTACGAAGACAACAGAAGTGGACAAATTTATTTATGGGTAAACTACACTATTAGTCATCCAATTATTACCTTTTTAAATTATATTTTTAAATTCTAGTCATCCTTTGGATTACTTTTCGTTAAAACCTAACAAACATGATAATTTGACTTACTATAATAATAATTTTAACCTATAAAATTTATATATTATATCAATTTATATTATCTAAGAGTATATGTATTATATCATACAATATCGATATTCATAATGATATCAATATCAATAGCCTAAAAACAACCAAAGTATGCATGTAGTCCCTCGATTGCGTAAGGTTTATGATATGATGCCTTAACTTTGTAATAATTGTATGTGATTGTTGTTATTACAACCCCATATATTGAAAAGTTTACAGATATGCTTAGTAGCTTAAATGGTGGGGAAGAACGCCAAATACTCATCTTAACACAATTGGACACCCATACTCTAAATCAAGAACAAGGCAAAATCTAGAATAAAAGTTCTAAAATAGACTTTTAAAAAGAATATTTGATATTTACTAACGATGTTGTTAAAAATACATATTAAAAGGTGTCTATTTATTGGCTACAAAAGTTCTAAAACTTAGATAAAATTCCTGGAGATATATTTGAACTAAACTATGAAACTTAATATATAAATGAATAAATAAAATCAATCCCAATTTATCTTAAATACTTAATAAAATAAAAAAAATACGAAATATTATCCTAATATATCTAAACCACATATAAAAAGTCTTTTGTTAAATTTAATTAAAAATAACCTATAAAAATATTGAATATTTAGTAGTAAATAAAATGATAAATTACACATTTAATACCTAAACTATCACTTTTAGTATTTAATCTTGGAACCTGTCACTAGAATAGCATACAGTGTTTAACCGTTGAAAAAAATATTTAAATTTGATTAAATTTTATCAAATTTATTATTTAATTTATATAATTATTTAATTAAAAACTAAATTATTTTAACTTTATTTTGGAATAACATAAGCGATTCATAACCAGAGAGGTCGATTTTTCTTTGTTTATGACAGTACTGGTATGAGTAAAACTTATTTGTGGAGAATAATTATTGTCTGCTTAATATCTCCAGGGAAATGGTATTAATTATTGCATTAATTAGGAATTTATTACTCGAAAAAAATAATCAATGAGATATTAACAAAAAAAAAGTTATACATAAAAGATAAGATATAATGTCGTTCAACTTTGTCTATTTCCAAGAATGAGAAGAACAATAATTCATTATGAATCGAATGATACAAGTAAATGATATATCGGCTATCTTAAAATTCGGTATTTATAGAAAAAGCTAGAATATCTCAAATCACTCTCTTTTAGTATCCTTACAAAACTTATCTTTATAATGTAAACTTCAAAAGTTGCATAAATTAAATCTCTCTGGGATAATTTCATAATTTTTGTTGTTTGATCATTTAACTATTCATTTTAGATTAAGATTTTGCTTATAACCAGTTGAAACGATTAAATAGTTATATTTACCCTATCACTACCATTAAAACAATGAAGAAATTTGGTCTTTTATGTCGATACTGAAGACACTAAATTTTATCATTCGATATTATATAATATATTTATATTATAATTTATATTACATAATATATTATTCATTTCTTACATATGGTGCATACATATTCACATACATATATGTTACATTTGCAGGCCCGAGGCCCAGTTGCACGTGACCCATAATAGTTTAGGGTCTTTAGAAGCCCTAGCTCCCTCAACTTCTCATCCAGCCGCCAGCAATAGTGACCGTTGGATCTAGATGGAATCCAATAGTCCACGGCAAAGGTATCTAGGGTTGCCTCCAAACCCAAGCCAAGGTTCCAGCCGCGCCGCACACTCCCACGACCGCACGCCTCTCAAACAATGCCCGATTCTCTCGGCAACCACCAACGACGCAAAGATCTCGCACAGTGAACAAGCAAATGTTAGAGTCCTATTAGGATTCAAATAGGTCCAAAAATAACACAAATCTAAGCTATAAATAAATGTAATCATCCATTTGTAATAGGGGGAGTTTTTCATACGAATCACGAGAACACACACATGAAACTACTCAGCAAAAAAACCCGAGCCTTGTAAACGTTTCAAGAAGAAATAAAAAGGTGGAAGTTTATACCTTTCTTACTTTTTTTCCCTTGCATGCGTGGTGTCCTTGTCGTTTTACTCGAAAAAAACAAAAGATTTGGGGCCGATGAACACAAGGGAACCGTGATATTCTCTCTTAGATCTACGGTTCCCCGAGGCTCGGTTGTGAAAAATACTTTAATTTTTAAAACGTGTGGGCGAAGACCTTTCAAAAAAACCAATTTTTTTAGTTGGTTGCCGCCGATGACCGGCGGCCGTCACCGATCAACGGCGGCGGCGGCAAGGCGGCGTGTGGAGGCCATAGCGGCCGGTTTCTGGAAAACACAGCCATGTTCTTCGTGGATGAAGAACAAGGCAGAGGAAATATGAGTGGGGGGAAGCGTTTCAGCGAGAGAGAAGAACAATGAGATTTTAAAAAAAACGTTGGCTTTTATACACAGCCCGTACCCGACTCCTTTGACCCGCGCGCGACCCGACCCAGCTGAAGGGATCCGCGCATTTTTTATGTTAAAAAGGGTAAACCCTATTTTCATCCTCTCTTGTTTTGATTGCTTCATTTTCGCCCCTGAAATCCCAATTCATCCTCAAAATGCTTCAAAATTGGTCACACGATCTTCTGTTTTTATAATTTAGTCCTTTTTCTGGATTTTAATTTTAATTTTCTTTTTATTTCATATTACATTATAATATATATATATATATATATATATTATAGTATTATTATTATTATTATATTTTATTTTTACATACTTGTATTATTAGTATTTTATTATGTATTTATTTTATTTATATGTTATATTATATATATATATATTTCATTTCTTGTTTACTTATTATTATTATTATTACTTTTTTACTATTTTAATCTATACACACTTATGTACATATTTTTATATCTCCATTATACTTTATGTAAATGTATATTTTTAATATTTTTTATATATATACTTTAGTTATTTCTTATTTGATTATATATATATATTATAGTATATATGCATTTTCATCCTTTACTTTTTTTACCTTTTCTTTTTGATTTTCGTTTTATTTCTCTATCCCTGTTTTTATTTATTGATCGTGTATAGATTATCGACTTTTTAAGGGCATTTTGTAAACTCATCAGGGGTGAGTAATCGGGGATCGTTATTTACCTTTTAATTTAAAATTATATTTTTCTTAATTTAAGACAACTGAAAATTACGTAGTACCGAAAGGGCAGCTCAAGGGTGCTAACCCTTCCTTGACTGTAACCGACTCCCGAATCCGACACATCTTTGGTAAGACGTAGATCAGGTAAGAAATAAGGTATCCGATCAACCTATTTGCTTTAAAATAAATGATCGGTGGTGACTCCCAACCCATTTTTCAAGTCGAAGCCCAATTCCGAGGCCCAACCAAAAGACGGTTGCGATAGCTTGGCGACTCCGCTGGGGACAGGTAAGCGAGTCAGGCTAAGGTAATTTTCAGTTGTCTTTTTAACTAAAAGGGTAAGTTTGAATTTTAAGGTAACTTTTTGATCTTTATTACTTACTTTTGATTACATTTTTCAAATAAATAGTTGTACTGACATTTTTTAATGATTTCAGATTTTTTAAAAGTGTTCATCTCAGGCTCTATACCCGAGCTCCGAACCCTTTTAAGTGGTGGTGAAAGCGACGCCTTCGTGTGAATTTATTCATCGTATAGGCCTAGCAAGTAACCTTCGGGATTCATATACCTTATGCTTTCGTGTGAATTTATTCTCTGTATGGGCATAAGGGAATGTTTTCTCTCGAGTTTAACTTAGTCCACACAAGCCTGTGATGGGTTTAGGACTAAAGGTCTGGTAAGCCCAAGGGGGCACCGGCAAAGAGAACTCGAGTACCTTTTTTTTAGAACCTAAACCGGGAGACTACAAGGAGTTAGAGCCCTCCCCAAAACCTCATTTTAAACCCTAGGATGCCGAAATTATTTCATGCTTTACTTTCTGTTCAAAACATGTGAACTATAAATTTATGCGGTTAGGACTTGTTCAAAATCAACTTGCGGGATATAGATCATGTCCGGGTAGGAATAATAAGCATGTGGGGTAGATATCATGTGGGGTAGGACTTTTATTTTCATGATTGTTTTGATTATTATCTTTACCTTACTAACTCTTTTCATTTTTTCTCTCTTTTATTTTATTTTCATCATCCGCATCATTCAAAAGAGGTGTTGATCCACCAAAAAATGTGTTCGTTAACCATAAATAATTTGCATTAATGGACAAAGGTGTTGTAATACAAGAGATTAAAAATCCCGAGGTACGACTATGATCCGATAAGACTCAGAAGGAAAAGGGATACAGTCTTCAAGGAAGCTATGTGTCAGAACTGGTTAGTTACGCCTCTATTAGCCTAAAGCAAAACGATGTGCAAGAGCTTCGGGACATCTGGGGCAGTTGGAAGAACGATCAGAAATAGAAGTTCAGCCAACGGTACGGTGGCATTGCATTGTTGCTTCATATCAAGACTGATGAGCCCTTGATCAGAGCCTTGGTTTAGTTCTGGAACCCGAGATACAGTTGCTTCACTTTTAATCAGGAGGACATGGTGCCCACCATTGAAGAGTACACTACACTGTTGCACTGTGAAAATATTGGGATTGCACTAGCCATTGTAGAAGAACTAGCGGAGGAAGATTCATTGGGTGTACTCAGCTCCTTCAGGTCTAGATACACAACCACTTCTGGAAGACTAATGAGGTTGCCTACCGCCGATTTAGCGCTACGTATTCACCTTTGAAAGAGTTCATTACCATGAAATGGCATGAAAGCGCTTCAAAAGAGAAGTGGATGAAAGTCTTTACTCATCTTCAAGATCGAAATATTGCTTGGAGAGCCTCCTGATTGTTCCTCAGTGACGATCTTTTTCGATGTGGAGACTCTGACACTATGACCTTACTTGAACTTTGGGGTGCAGTTGGGTATGCTATGTTGTTAGCAATAGATAGTATGGGGCACGTCAGTTTGTCCCAGCAACATGCGAACTACCTAGATCAGAGTCTGGGTATCACGGTGATAACTATAAGAAGATGATCAAGGAAGCAACCAATTCATGAAAGAAAGTATTCTGAATGGATGTTGTAGCTGCCAGAAACATGTTAACTTCGGATTATGTGAAGTGGCGAAAATTGAGGAAAAATAACAATATTCTGGTGCCAGACTGTGAGGACACCCGGACCATGGAAGAACATCTCAGGCCTGTCCTTTCTGAAATCGAGATATCCAAGACAGAGTTTGAAGCTGTGAATAATGAACTGAAGCAGAGGATAAAGGAACTTGAAGCTGAGCGCTATCAGTGGAAGCTAGATGTCGACTCTCAGAAAGATCGAGCAGACAAAACTTGAAAAAGAACAGAAAAAAATTTGTTTTGAGCTCGAAGACTTGAGAAAGGGGTATCAAGATAAAGTCAAGGATAACTCCAAGTTGAAAGTGACTTCTGAATACTGGAAAGACGAAGCTCATAGCCTGAAAAGAAAGTTCTAAGGGCCTGATGAGAGAGCTTGGAAGGAACAGATGAAGACTGCCCAGAGGCGGTTAGCAGACAGTCGACATCAAAACCATTGCTTGAGAATCCGGATGGCTGATCTGGAGAAACAACATGAGAGAGATGACAAAATAATAGCTGAGTTAGAAGCTATTGTAGATGGGTTCAAGAAGCAAGCGAGCGAGCTTCAGATAGTGCCCTTCGACGGAGGTTTACAGTGGTGTTTCCGTTGGGAGCAAGCACAACAAAGGGTGAAGGTCAGAGACTCAGTCATTCGAGACTTCCTGGATCAAGTACAGAAGGCAGCTCGTCATCTACATGGACAGGCAAGGGAAGCTGGAATGGTCCGACAAGGCATACAATCATTGACAGATGAATACAGAAGACTTGACAACCTACTATAAGTTGTTCGGGGTCTAGAGGATTTAGTCTGAATGTACCTTTTGATTATTTTTATGTCTCTTACAAGATAAAACATTTTTGTCTAAGTAAAGATTATTTATAATAATAGACACTTTTCTGGATCAATGCCTCGAACATTTCATGCATTCTTGCATTTTGCATTTTTGCATATTGATTTACATTTTTATGCATTTTCACAAACATGAAATTAAGTCATGGAGGATTCGATGAAGTGGTCTTAACCAAATTACACCACATTGAAGCAAGATTTTAACAATTAAAGAAAAAGCTGAAATCAATACAGTGGGAGCCTGGTCAACTGATTGTAGGATAAAGCCTGCCAGGATGATCTGAAAAAAGAGTCCACATATCCTAAGGACTACGATGTTGAAGCTGTTTGCAGTTTTCCATATAAGAAGCCCCAAACATTCCTCTGAAAATTGTAAGGCGCTTGCCGAAGAAGGGGGCATGACATATACCATTTGCACTTAGAGGATTGCTTTGTTTGAACACGTCTTTGATCTTTCATGTTTGCTTAATCTTTTAAAGGATTGAATTTATGCTACTTTCTAAGGTGGAGCAATTGAACAAATTTGAATATTTAGTTCTTCGAATATTAAATGAATTAAGGATTCTTTTAATTCTTTAAGAATTACAGATTTTTGACATTTGACAATATTAGGCCTTTCTTATCATGTCTCAAACCCCAAAATAAAATACCTCGATTCTTTACCCAAAATAACTCATGGTCATTACCAAAAAGACCAAATTTTGACATTACCTCCCTTTGAAATTCTTAAACATTGCCTTTATCTTTTTTTATACACCTATACCTTTCTTTGAGTCAAATAAAGTCACACCATTGTCTTTTTAGACTCTAAATTGACATTTTAATACCCAAGGCATTGAGTTGTTCATTTGAACATGAGCATTCTTCTAAAGACACAACTTGGGGCATCTCGCGGAGAGCCTGAACATTGAGACATCCGGGGAAAAAAGAAGAAAAATTCATTCGAAATAATTCTATCATGCATTAATTACATTGTTTTCATGTGAATAGAATTAATCCTGCAAATCTATCCCCCTGGGATACCTCTTCTGTGAAGACTTCCATGTATGAAATGATGAACGACTTTCTTTCTTTATCCCTTCACAACAGGAGAAAAAATATATCCCTTGTATCCCATTTTGAGCCTATAGTATTTTTCCTTCTGAATCAACCCTAACCAAGGATCACCCTCCACACTGGGGGGCAAGGTGGAAGAAATCTGCTCACATGAGTGAAGACATCAATCCAAAGGAGATACCAAAAGGTGGACCAAATGGAAAGTGCGAATATCCAATCAAGAACAAAAATAAAAAAAAGTAAAAGAGCAAAAAACAAAGAAAAAAGAGAAACAAGAACAAAAGGAAAAAAAGGAAAGAACAAGAATCAAAAAGAAAAAGGGAAAAAACACATGTTAAGATTCCCTAAAGATAAATGGCACAACAAGCTTCAAACTATGAGATTGATCAAGCACAATCATTCTCGAATCTCTGAATCACTTCACTTGAAGATCATGGAACATCCAGAGAAAATCCAGAGAAACACATATGAGCATATCCAAATTGAGCAAGACAGGATTGAAGGCATCAGAATGAATTGATCCTTGGTTCAACACCCTGAAACACTTGTTTGGGCCTATTTATCATTTTCTTTCATAACCATGAACCCTGGCTTACATTACGTGCCTTAAAAGTCCATTCTAATCATACATGGATTTCTAAACAGAAGAGACTATCTTCAGATTTCATCCCGCCCATCAGGATTAATCTTTGTTTGCAAAAAACAATGTAATTAATGCATGGTAGAGAAAAATAACAAAAGGGGGTTCAAGACGTAAATTACGAATGACATTTTGAAACCAAAGGAGGATTTGAGTTGAAAACCTGAAAAGACGGCTCGAATATAAAAATTGTGCAGCTGAGACGATCGTACAAATTCCTTAATAAGGCATCGCACAATCCGAGTGTGATCATGAAAGCTGGGAGTCGGAGAACACTTCCAGTAGATGAGCAAGCAAGCTACCCCATCAGACCATTGAGCATCAAATGAACAAAAATATCAAACCTTTTACTAAACACAATAACCTGAGACTTTTTTTTTATCCTTTCCTTACTTAACCATTTCCCAAAGATAGCTTTGATCTTGGAACTTGTCAAATAGCTATAATTTATTGAAGGATTAACATTGTAATTAATTCTTTGATATCTGATGAACTCTAGTTTTATGATTCGTCTCAATTGTAAAATCGTGAAAGTGACAATATTTTCAAAACTTTGGATCAAACATTTTTCAAAACTCTTTTAATTGATATTTTCATAACTTTGAAAATAAAAAAGAAAGAAAAACATTTTTTTCAAACAAGACAATTTCTCTAGAGTGGATCTTGGTAAATGACAAATGACTCTCAAACATAAAACTCATGCTTAGAATCAATGTCGAAGTAAGAAATGAGGAACATCAAGGGCATTTTTGGAGATTCAACATCGAATATTGGGGCATCTTTAGGGATTCAACATCCTGATGCGAATTATCAGACTTTCTGAAGGCATTTCCTCCACATGCAGGAACAAGCAGACAAAGCACGAGACTCCACATGCATCTTATGCATATATTTTAGAGCATCATATTTATCATTTTTTATCATACATAATTTTTACAGATTTTATAGTCAAGTTTCGACTTCAAGATGAATGATACTCGATTCAAAAGCACCTCTAAAGATTGATGTTGGTTGCTTAACTCAGCAACAAGAGGCTACACTTCAACCAACTCGACAGATTGAAAGGTCGATATTCATCTTCAGATTCGACATCTCCAATATAAATTTTGTCTCGCTTGAGACAGATCTCTTGAACACTCTCTGATCTTGAAACGGTTCTCTTAACAAACTTCTAGTATCCTTCACAAACTCTCATATGATTAAAACCGGTTATCCGTAATTTCCAAATAAAACTAACATTTCTTATACACGTCAATATTTTTATCAGATCAATATGTCTGTAAAATCCTCTTATCTAACTTCCATATTCAAATCTTGTCTTTTTATAACATAAGGGTATTTTCATAATTTTACCCTACCAGAGTATTCTCATAATTTCCCAACCAAATACCTTTAACATTTAACCTTTGATGAAATAAATTATAAGTTGCAGATAAAGGGCTGATTTCTTTATCACTAATCACAAACTTGTAATTTAATCTCACAATTCCTTAATCTCTTATATTAGTCATTCGATCCGTAATTAGTTACAGAATTTGTACCACATCATATCGAGTGTATAAATTATTCAACTCCACCAAAGTGACCAAGTATTGGATTTCAACTTCACGACGAATGATATTCAAGTCAAGGCTCAACTTCACGACGAATGGGTCATCCGCGATTTCAATTCCACGACGGATGATATCGTGCCACTCAAGACAACACAAGTTCAACTTTACAATGAAGGGACGGCTGGTTGTCAACAAATAATTTCCCAATTTCAGAGCCAATTTCAACTTCACAGCGAAGGATATTGGACTCAAGACAACACAAGTTCAACTTCACAACAAAGGGACGGATGATTGTCAACAAACAATTTCCCAATTTCAGAGCCAATTTCAACTTCACAGCGAATGATATTGGACTCAAGACAATACAAGTTCAACTTCACAGCGAAGGGACGGCTGGTTGTCAACAAACAACTTCCAAATTTCAGAGCCAATTTCAACTTCACAACGAAGGATATTGGACTCAAGACAACACAAGTTCAACTTCACAACGAAGGGACGACTGGTTGTCAACAAACAACTTCCCAATTTCATAGCCAATTTCAACTTCACATCGAAGGATATTGGACTCAAGACAACACAAGTTCAACTTTACAACGAAGGGACGGCTGGTTGTCAACAAACAATTTCCCAATTCAAGAACCAATTTCAACTTCACGGCAAAGGATATTGGACTCGGAACAATACAACTTACTTGGATCTCAACTTCACGCGAAAGATATCCAATTCCAGACTCAACTTCATGATGAAGGGGTCACCAATGGTTTCAACTTCACAACAAAGGGAATCGTGCACACAGGCAGCATCCATCTTTAGATTGGATTTCAACTTCACGGCAATGGATATTCAACTCAAAGAATGATTGTCTGTCAACACACTTTCCAGTTTCAGAGTCAATTTCAACTTCGCAGCGAATGATATTGGCCTCGAAATAACGCAACTTACATTGGATTTCAACTTCACGACGAAGGATATCCAATTCTCAGGCTCAACTTCACGACGAAGGGGCCATATACATATACAATTTCACAACGAAGGGTATTGTACCCTAATAGGTTGACCTTACTTCACGACGAAGGAGTCATCTGTAACACATCAACACCAAAGTTTTCAGGTCAAGTTTCACCTTCACGATGAAGTATCTTGAGCCAGAAGACGATTCAGAGGCCACTTGCCAAAAGCTTTTAGCTCATTTTCAACTTCACGACGATGGATTTCGTGCTCAGAGTTTTCCAGTTTAAACTTAACCTCACGGAGAGGGAGTCATTTCGATAAATCAGTCTCAATATCAAATTTCAACTCCGCACAAAAGGACATTTGACATGAACAAAATTTGTGTCTTTTAATCTTTACTCTATTTTCGTTACACGATAATGAGCAAAGAGGGGCAGCTGAAGACACTAAATTTTATCCTTCGATATTATATAATATATTTATATTATAATTTATATTGCATAATATATTATTCATTTCTTACATATGGTGCATACATATTCACATACATATATGTTACATTTGTAGGCCCGAGGCCCAGCTGCACGTGACCCATAATAGTTTAGGGTCTTCAGAAGCCCTAGCTCCCTCAACTTCTCATCCAGCCGCCAAAAACAGTGACTGTTGGATCTAGATGGAATCCAACGGTCCACGGTAAAGGTATATAGGGTTGCCTCCAAACCCAAGCCAAGGTTCCAGCCGCGCCGCACACTCTCACGGCCGCACGCCTCTCAAATAATGCTCGATTCTCTCGGCAACCACCAACGACGCAAGGATCTCGCACAGTGAACAAGCAAATGTTAGAGTCCTATTAGGATTCAAATAGGTCCAAAAATAGCACAAATCTAAGCTATAAATAAATGTAATCATCCATTTGTAATAGGGGGAGTTTTTCATACGAATCACGAGAACACACACACGAAACTACTCAGTAAAAAAACCCGATCCTTGTAAACATTTCAAGAAGAAATAAAAAGGTGGAAGTTTATACCTTTATTACTTTTTTCCCTTGCATGCGTGGTGTCCTTGTCGTTTTACTCGAAAAAAACAAAAGATTTTGGGGCCGATGAACACAAGGGAACTGTGATATTCTCTCTTAGATCTACGGTTCCCCGAGGCTCGGTTGTGAAAAATACTTTGATTTTTAAAACGTGCGGGCGAAGAGCTTTCAAAAAAACCATTTTTTAGTTGGTTGTCGCCGATCAACGGTGGCGGCGTGTGGAGGCCACGGCGGCCGGTTTCTGGAAAACACAGTCCTGTTCTTCGTGGATGAAGAACAAGGCAGAGGAAATATAAGTGGGGGGAAGAGTTTCAGCGAGAGATAAGAACAATGAGATTTTTAAAAAAATGTTGGCTTTTATACACAGCCCGTACCCAACTCCTTTGACCCGCGCGCGACTCGACCCAG